AATACGCTTGTTTTTATTAATCACATTGTTTGGTGCAATGCGTGTTTTAACCAATATTGATAGTAGGCCGGAGCCACACCGCAAGAAGATTCAATGAAAACTCTACGTACTAGATATTTTAGAATAGAATCTCGAGTCTGTGTCTAAGATTACGGTGTCTGAAATGTGCTTGTGACGTTACGCAAATTATACACAAATTCCCTGATGAACTAACTTCACCATTTTCAAGGCTTTAAGCAGCTGTGCAGAATGGTGTGTGTCGAAATGAGTATTGCCTCCAGCCTCCAGCCTGCACGTTAATTTGAGAAATAGCATGGTTCATGTGAAGTGAGAACCTCCTCTCCTCTCTAGTAGTAGGATGCCATCTGTTAATTTGTATATATACTTTAGCAAATACATTGATAGCCTCTTGATAGCCTCCTAATTTATACAATTTATCATCTTGATAGCCTCCTAAATAGAAGATATGAATCATTAATATATCTCTGGTATGTAGCAGCATCCAACAACTAATGTGTTAGTATTTAATGACTATATAACGACTAACGGCCATTTACACTAAATATTTAATGTCGAGTAAGGAATGTACAAATTTGTTTGAAACTACTAGGTTGAGCACCAATCAAAAGCGTACATAAAAATAAGTCACAAGTTTGTTTTTAGAATAAAAATGAGCTGCACGGCCAATAGCCATAGCCTCCTAAATTCAACAGCACGGTACCGGGTGCATATGTACTCTCATTAAAATATTTCATTTATTTATTATATTTTATTTTAAACCTCATAAATTAAAATTTACTATAGTGTGTGCTGTAAGCTGGGACATTGGGCAATGGAGTTTACTTAATACTATTGTGTGAGTGGAGAGAAGGAGCCGGCAATGTTCACTATAATACACATATGCAACAGGGAAGCCAAGAAATTGTCATACATAGGTGTTAGCAAAGCTGTTTACAACCGACAACGGCAAATAGTGGGCACAGTTGTCTCTCGCGCAATACTACGGTCGCTCGCTTGCAGTAATTTAATGCATGCAATGCAAAGTAAGGCAGGCATCAAAGCGACTATAAGATCACGATAGGTAGAGATATACTACACCGCAGATACACATATACTCAACATAGCTAAGAATATATATATATATATATATATATATATATATATGTGTGTGTGTGTGTATGTGTGTGTATATATGTGTGTATATATCCAGATCTTCCGTGCAACCTTAACTTTATAGCATACTTTATTACACGGACGCTGGCTGGCTGAACGAGCTTGTGAACTGTGAAGTCCAGTTGATATAGTCACTGTCGCATATGCGACAGAACGATGTTATCATACTGGCGTTTTATGTGTAGTTAATAGAGAGTGATGACGGTTGATGTGGGCACGGCCGTCAGGATTGCGATAGGGCTGCTAGAGGTCGTCGAGAGAGATCCCCTTTTGGCAATACATACACACACCACCTACTTGCTCAGAACACGGCTCAAACATGTGAACACACCCACTTCGAACACACAAGTAGAACTTGGCCGGGATGAGAAACCTAAGGGCCCTCTAAAGGAAGGTGGGTCTGATGTTATAGCTGGGCCTGGCGGTGTTACACTTGTTGTACCAAAACGAAGCCACGGCGACACTCACAATGACCAAACGTACCGAACTGCGCACGTGGCCGGTGCAGACAACCCTGGGCACAGTCAGCTTCATAGCAATAGTCACACTACTATCACGTACGGTGGTGAGAGGGTGGGTAATGGGGCGCCATTAGGACCACCCAGTGGGGATGGGACCTATGAGCTGCACTCCAGCAAGTCAGCTCACGCACGCTCGCACAGTCCCACAGCAGCGTACAACGGGGGTGGCAGGGGACTTGAAAGTAGGAATGCAGATAGAGAGAGAGGGAGAGATAGAGACAGAGACAGAGACAGAGACAGAGAGAGGCGTAGAAGTAATTTACAGAGTAGAGATGGGAGCGGGTACAGGACCGGCTTGCGGGTAGAACACCAGGAGTCTACCCGGACTAATATAAGAAGCCGCGAACGGAGTAGTTCGAGAGGCCGATCTAGATCGAGAGAGAGATCTAGATCCAGGTCTAGAGCCGAGAGCAGCGCACACACACCACTCAGCAAACGGACTAGTTATGACAGCGAAGACACGCACGCACCTACACCCTCCCACTCGTACGCACGAGAACAAACACGACGTTCATCGACGGACGAGCATAGCAGAGGGAGAGATAGTCACCAGAATCACGTGCACAGACCACAGCAGGACGCAGACGCAGCCGAAGGGACACGAAGCAGGCGCACGTGCACACCATCGAGGGATGGTGGGCAGTCGAGAGAGGGAGCACGTACACACTCACGCACAGCCACACACACGCCCACGGCATCCTTAGAGGACATACGCGAGTCACTGCGGGTGGGCATGCGGTCTCATGCACATGCATATGCACAGACACACACACGCACGCACACACACCACGCAGAACATACAGACCTCGGGTACGATCGCAGGGATAGTACCAATAGCACAGGGAGCAGCACACGTCACCACGAGCGCAGGTATACAGGGGCCAGGGCTTCCCCCCCAGGCACACGCACACACACACACACACACACAGAGCGAAGCACACGCGTCAGCCGAACCCCACGCGTGGACCCGCCCTCGCGCTCACACTCACGCACAGACTCGCGCTCACACTCACGCACACGTAACCGAGCAGACACACCTACAGTACGCGGCAGCTCACGCGCCAGTAGTAGGAGTGGACACCACGAAGGGCCTGTGCGAGAGGATAGGAGAGCAGACACACCCACACACCACAACACACGCACACACACCCCCACCGGCATGTACCATGGGCGGGGAGGGGGTCTACGCACACACACGCCCACGACCACAGAGTATGGGCCACACTCACACGTGCGCACACTCGAGGAGATGCGGCGGTTGGCACGAGAGACCGTGCGCGGAGAGACGTGGCTGGACGGCGACGCACAACTCGACCGTAAGGTGCAGTACCTACGCGAAGCAGCGGAGAAGCTACAGCGACACAGTGACGACAGGGACAGAGACAGAGACACACACAGAGAGAGTGAGCGTGAGGAGGCTTTGCGTGTGCAGGCGCATGTGGCGGTGGACCCACGGGTGTATGGGCCGTATGGGAGAGACGACACGCACACGCACACGCACGTGCCAACCATTGTGCACGTGCACAGACCGCAGGAGGAATCGGAGCATCTCACGAGCGCACGGAGCAGCTCGGGCACGCGGGCTATAGACCCCCACAGAGACCCCCACAGAGACGCCCGGGAACACGGGGGTGGAAAAACGGGTGGGAGAAAGAGTGCGGTGCGAGTGATGCGACGAGTGAGCGATAGCACGGCGGAGGAGGGAGAGCCACACGTAAGGCGAAGGCACGAGCACACGCGAAGAGAAGGAGACGGGGGGGAGAATAGGCGAGGCGTTATTTCCACGGGTGACGGAATAAGGAAGGGTGGTGCACACAGGCGGGAGGCACGCAAGAAGCAGCGCACACGAAAGAACGTGGTGCTGGTAACGCCGTATAGACACACCATGCATGCGACATCAGAACCACAGGTGTACAGCGACTCAGGGGCAGAGGAGGTGATGAGGGGACACAGACACGCAGACACAGCAGACACCACACACACAGCACACACACACGAAACACACACACATGCACCCACGTCACACGACACACACACACACACAGGCAAGGCACATGAATCACGCACACACACCACACAGCCGCGCAGTAGTGCAGAGAATGGCGGCGGAGGACACTCAGACATGATTACGCCCACACGAAAGTCACATCGTATACCCAAAGATGTGCTCGAATACATCGCAGCCAGCCAGAGCGCACTGAACGAACCCGCAAGCACAGACACAGACGAGATACCTACACGCACCCGTGAGCAGGCAAGTACACGACATATGTCCGACAACGAGATATTGGCGTACAGCCCCCCGTTGCCACGTACCCCAACTGCAGAACGAGTGAACTTCTCGACATACGACGAAGGACTCACGGATGCGTACAGACGAGTGTCTAGCCAGGTAGGTGGAGACATGCAAACACACACACACACACACACGCGCACGCACACCCAGAAGCCAACACTGGTACACTTGCCGTCGCACGTAAGCGTGCACACACCCACAGAGCGCACACCGCAACGCACCACGTTCTCGCATGCGCCAGCAATTACACTCACACCCGCACCCAGACCCCTACAAAGACCCCCACGTGACCCCTCGCACACACCTGCACGCACACGCACGCGTGCACGTGGCTACGAAGAACCCGCCCCCACTGTCACCGCATACACGAAAGACAACCGAAACAGCAGAGACAGCAGAGGTAACAAAGACACGAGACACACAGCCCCTCCATCACAGTACGCGTCCATGACCTCATGGACCTTCACCGACGCAGGGGGTATGAGCACGGAACGTATCCGCGCACTAGCCCTCACGCTACCGAACATCACCCACATCAACACCGTCCACGTGCGCGGGTGGGACGAGGCCCTCTACGCCGCAGTCCTGGATAATTGGCCACTACTGACGGACTGGGACCTGGGCATCTTCCCGGCCGTGTCGGATAGTGGGCGTCTGCTGACTTGTCTATCGCAGAGTGCTGTGGAGGCGCTGTCGGTTGATGGGGAGATACCCAGCGCCCTACACTCGCCCGTGTTGCGTGTGCTGTCCGCTCACGAGACCGTCTCGCTGCGGTTACTTTTGGCGGGAAATTCTGCGCTGGTGGAGTTGACGCTCTCGTGGCAGGTGGTGTCTGAGCGTCTGGTGAGTCTGAGCCTGCAGGTGCTGCGTGTGAAGCAGGTGTCAAATCCCGGCGCTCTGATTGGCTGTCCGAATCTCACGGAGCTCGGGGTAGACTCACTGACGGAGAAGACCTTCTGCACCAGCGCGGCGGTGTTGAGTGTTACGTGTCACAAGGTGAGTAATGCGAATATGGATCGCTTCCCACGTGTGAACACGCTGAGATTGGGTAGGTATGCGTCGTTGGAGGAAGGGTTTATCTCTAGACGGGTGGCTCGGCTGGAGATGGATAGCGAGTCTGAGTCCGGGCTGCCGCTGAAGTACTACCTACCCATGCTACACACACTGTCGTGCGGGTTTCACGACATGCGCGCTCTGAGCTTCATGTCCCTCACCACGCTCACGCTGAGATGCTTTGTGGACGAGAGCGCACTCAAGCAGACCATCGCCAACTGTCCGTGTCTGGAGAGTATCTACCTGCGACAGTGTGTTCCCTGGACGTACAAGCCGTATTCGAGTGTGGATCTGTGGCAGATATATGCGGAGACCAAGCTGAGTAGGTATAATGTGACGCTGTTTGTGGACCGTAGCTATGAAAGCAGCGCCTCACAGGGCTTTCTGAGCCTGCTGCGCGAGGGTCGGGTGGGGTATACCGGTATGTAGAGATGTTCAATAACGGGATCTGCGGCAAACATACATTGGTTGGGAGTTGCACCACTTACTGTAGCTTGGCGAGTCAGGCTTTTTGATCAGAATCAGGTGGGGGTGTACCGCAATTAGTCATTTGATAATACCGGGACGCTGTGGCAGAGCCGTGTAGCACCTGGTCAAGTAGAGATAGATAGTGTTTCCCAATAGTTGGAGAGTGTTCCTCGAGAGTTTAAGAGTACTCCAAAGAGTTGGTGAGTATTCCTCGAGAGTTTCAACGTACGTTTCCGAAGTTTGACGACACGATTCGTGAGAGATGCGACATAAGTGGGGTGGTCCATACGGCCAGTCCTAAGGTCTCACGCATACCTACGGCCAGTCCTAAGGTCTCACGCATACCTACAGAAGGGTAGCCCATAAATACAATTAATATAAACACGAATAAAACGCACTCTATGGTGCTGAGTGGGTATATCTACTACGTTGCAGTCACAGTATCATATCGTTGTATGAATCATCATGAGGCGGAGCTTCACACGTGACCTATACGATGCTACACGTTAGAAAGCGCATCAGTCAGTTACAGCCACAGCCACGACACCAGCACACAGCGAGATTGAACTAATTTACCTACAAATAATAGGACGAAGGCTATCTAGATCACTCACAACTCACACACACCCCAAACCCCATTGCATGAAACTATTTAGCAACCAACGTACACACACACACATCTGATACTATCCACAGACCTTCCCCAGCCAATCACAGAGATAGACTATACGTGTAACTTTATTGTTGCTCGACTAATTTGCTAACACTTTAAACCCCATTGCACGAAAGGCTTAGCAACCATCACACACACAGACACCTGTTACTACCCACAGCCCTTCTTCAGCCAATCGCAGATAGACTATACGTGTAACTTTATTGTCGCTTGACTAATTTGCGGAGCCCATCCACAGCTTGCGTGTTCTGTGTGGCATAGGCACATCACATGCCTCCGGTAAAAGCGTGCATGCTTGTCTCTCTCTCTCTCTTTATATATATGTGCGTGTGAGGGGGAGCCCTACATGCATACATATGTACTTCATTGTAGGTACATGTTCCTTGTACGTATGCATATGTATGTGTGTGTGGGAGAGCCCTACATGCATACGTATATACTTCATTGTAGGTACATGTTTCTTACACGTATTCATATGTATGTGTGTGAGGGAGCCCTACATACATACGCATGTACTTCATTGTCGGTACACGTTAATTGTACGTATGCATATGTATGTGTGCGTGCGTGTGTGTGTGAGTGCGCACATGTTGAGATATAGCTCATGAGAGCTCTATCTATAAATAGACACGTGATCATCCATAAATAGACCCGCGATCATCTATAAATAGACACGTGATCATCGATTCATAAATAGACACGTGATCCTCCATTTTATAAATAGACACGTGATCATCTATAAATAGACATGTGATCGCAGACATAAACCCAGTGGTTTAAGTACAGCCTATTCCACACGTGAATGTGTGTGGCTATGATGAGACACCCCTCACGCGATCTGTTCTAAAAATAGATTTACTTCACACGCAGACCCGATGCAACGGGTGAGCGTGTACGTATAGTGGTCCGTTTACGGATTGCGGCGAACGTTTGTGTGTCTACAGATGATGCCGTAAACATACACAACGGTATCAGAAGCGGCAGCACATTTGTGTGTACATGTACATACACATACGACAAGCGCTTATACAGCCACTTTAAAGACCATCGCTCCGATCGTAACGTAACGTGTGCGTTTGTAGATATGTTATCAGAGTGTGTTACATGTACGTGAATGTGTGCGCGAGCGGTCTCTTTCTCTCTCTCTCTCGCGTGCACACCCCCCCACACCGAAGACAAACCCTATATCAAACGCTCTCTGCACACACATCTTCTCCAATCCCAACACATCCCCCAACTGCCGCCATGTGAAGTGAAGTGTATGCGCCAGAGGTTCGGTGCCCTGATCCTTGCACGTATTCGGATACGCATCGGGAGTCTTTTCTAATGTTTAATAGATCCCACCATCGCCATCACTAATCATCTCCCTCTATATCTAAGTTTAGCTCCTTCTTTTGCTCTTGCTCTTGCTCCAGCTCCAGCTCCTGCTCTTTCGTGCCTTCCAGAATCTACATATAGTTATAGGTGTGTGCACAGAGAGGATAGTATGAGGTATAGTTAGACGCAGTGGACGGCGATGGTGTGGTCATGAGACGACATCGATGCTCGCAGGATACATAAGTGAGAGCCTATGGTCATGAAATACGGTCATGAACACATGAAATACGGTTATGAACACACGAAATACGTTTTTGAACACATGAAATACGTTTTTGATCCCATAAAATACGTCTATGATCCCATGAATTAAGTTTATGATCCCATGAAATACGTCTATGAGTAATACCCGCTTGCAGGCACAGGCACAGACACAGGCACTACCTACCGCCAGTCTGTTCTGCCAGTACTCCTTGTTGTCGTGTAGGTTGGGGATGCATTCCTCGTACAGCTCAGGCATGAGAATGGAGAAGGTCTCGTATAGAGGCTCAACGATGAACTGGATGAACGACGACTGGCACTTCTCAATGCTCACGGTGTGACGGTCGCACATGGGCGAAATGGCCATCTGATTGACCGTCTCAAGATCACCCTACACCGACAGATAAAGAGAGAGCGAGCGAGAAAGAGAGCGTGAGAGAGAGTGTGAGAGAGTGTGTGTGAGAGAGAGAGAGAGAGACATTGTGAGTGCGAGGAAGAGATTGTAACGTTATACAAGTACTGATCTCTCATGAACACATGTGAGCCATGACCGCATTCAGGAGCATGGCCACTGTCTTGGACACTCTGCACGAGGGTATATATATATATACATATACATATACATACACATACACCTACATACACATGTACCTGATTCCAGAACTCTTCCATGACGCGCTGGGCCCATTGGCCGTAGATGTGCTTGTTCTTGCATGGGTTAGAGACGTCTGCACAGTGCACAGCCATGGCTAGGATGAGCATGATTGTTTTGTTGGGCACTTCTTCGCTCTCCTCTTCTCGCAGTACCACTACGGCTGACTTGAACTTACCTGTGGTATAAGGTGTGTATGTGTCACGAGTTGTGAGTCATGAGATATGAGACATGAGACATGAGACATGAGACATGAGACATGAGACATGAGACATGAGACATGAGACATGAGACATGAGTTAAGAGACATGAGTATGAGTATGAGTATGAGTATGAGTATGAGTATGAGTATGAGTATGAGTATGAGTCATTTTGGGTAGGGGTGGTGGTTAAGGCACATTGAACTGTATGCATTGTGTGTGTATGATAAATATACAGACATAGACGATACCAATACAAAAATATATGAGAAACATAAATATATGTAATACACATTCGTATTTGTAATATGTAAAATGTAATACTCGCATATTCGTGGGTATGTGGGCGGTAGCTATGTACACACATTCTGCCGAGCTCCAATACACCAAAGTAGTATCTCGATACCGGATAAGGACACACATGCACCTACCCATGAGCTCGAAGTGGTAACTCATGTCTGTGTTTAAGACCATCTGGATGATGAGCGTGCGCACGTGTTGATAGTCCTTTGCGCTGAGATTGCAGAAGATGTTACAGTCATCCCGCGACAGGATCTGAAACGCCTGCAGACGCCAATGCATACGACGGGTCAGTGGATGTACACATGACGGAGAAGAGGAACACACACGTACACACAGACGATGGGGAATAAACGATATATGAACACATACGCACAGATGTCAGTGGATGTACACATTAGTGAGAAGACAATATATGAACACATACGCACATATGTCAGGGGATGTACACATTAGTGAAAAGACAATATATGAACACATACGCACAGATGTCAGTGGATGTACACATTAGTGAAAAGACAATATATGAACACATACGCACATATGTCAAGGGGATGTACACATTTGTGAGAAGACAATATATGAACACATACGCACATATGTCAATGGATGTACACATTTGTGAGAAGACAATATATGAACACATACGCACATATGTCAGGGGATGTACACATTAGTGAGAAGACGATATATGAACACATACGTACAGATGTCAGTAGATGTACACATTAGTGAGAAGACAATATATGAACGCATACGCACATATGTCAGTGGATGTACACAATAGTGAGAAGACAATATATGAGCACATACGCACAGGTACCAGTGGATGTACACATTAGTGAGAAGACAATATATGAACACATACTCACAGATGTCAGTGGATGTACACATTAGTGAGAAGACAATATATGAAGACATACACACATATGTCAGTGGATGTACACATGACTGACAAGAGGAACACACACATACACACAGACGATGGGGAATAAACGATATATGAACACATACGCACAGATGTCAGTGAATGTACACATTGGTGAGAAGACAATATATGAGCTCATACGCACAGATGTCAGTGGATGTACATATGACTGAGGAGAACATAGTATAACGTTTAACATGACTGAGAAGATCAGAGTATAACGTTTATGATCGAGAAGCACTGGCCTGTTGTTACCACACAGCGGTGATGTGATAACACACACAGGGTGGGGTGTATGTGAGACTACAATCCAGAGGAATACGTTTGCGTAAACACAGAAACTGACACAGAGATGCTATAGAAGACAGCGGTATATATATATATAAATACGTATACACAGTGGTATATATACATATACGTATACACAGTGATGTATATATATATACGTATACACAGTGGTATATATATATACGTATACACAGTGGTATATATATATATACGCATACACAGTGGTTTATATAAATATACGTATACACAGTGGTATATATATATACATACGTATACACAGTGGTATATATATATATACGTATACACAGTGGTATATATATATATACGTATACACAATGGTATATATATATATACGTGTATATATACGTATACACAGTGGTATATATATAACGTATACACAGTGGTATATATATATATATACGTATACACAGTGGTATATTTATATACACGTATACACAGTGGTATATATATATATACGTATACACAGTGGTATATATATATGTATACGTATACACAGTCATTTATATATATACGTATACACAGTGGTATATATATATACGTATATACAGTGGTGGTAATGAACATATGATCTGGACATTTACGTCTACGCAACAAACATAGAGATGTTACTGGTTTACGTTTACAAAGACACAAACACGGACACCGAGATGCTATGTACTGATAGTGAGCATACGATCCGGGAGATTACGTTTACAATATCGTAAACACATCTGGCACACCTTTGCGAGGAGTTACGTTTACGTTTAAGTTTACGTTTACGTAAATACAACGGACACACCTTGGCCAGGTGCATGTTCTCTAAAACGGAGTGGTCGTTGTACAGCAGAGCCTCCGCTGACCTTGAATTGACTAAGTACGCGTTATTCACACCTGACACACAGGGGGAGAGGGTAGGTACACATAGTATTAGCTCATGTACCTGTGTATGTGGTACTGGTATAGGTTGTAGGTATATGTACTTGTATGTATGATATAATATATATATATGTGTGTGGTTGTATCTATACTATTAGTAAAATTATGTATGTATGTTAACTGTGTATACTTTTGTATGTATGCTTGCAGTATATATATATGTATATATATACATATTTATGTAGGTATTGTTGTATATCATTTGTAGACGATCGATGTGTACGCATATTCATCACTATAACATATTATACATTAATATACCAGATACCAATATCAGTAGACCGAGATAGTAGTCAGCTGAGCTTTTAGCAACAATTCACCAACCACCATACCTCGATCATTCATTAAACCATGATTACTCATGTCCACTTACAATACATAATACATACATATATATATATATATATAGTGAGTTGCTTATTTAGTTCACGAACGGTTTAGAATGAAAACAGCGTTATACTTCATATCATCAAAGTAGTGTCATAGCTAACAACAATGATAACTGAGCGTCCCATAACCTTGACTTATATAATCTCAACTAGCTTTTGCCTATCGTCAGCCCCCTCTGGTTACTGACACAACATCCCTCCGAGTGACCGGTCTCCTCTGTAGCCAGCCACTCGTCATCAATATATGTTACACTACTTTCCATTTATGTTACACTATATATCTATATATGTTACACTACTTTCCATTTCTATATACGTTACTCTACTTTCCATTTCTATATACGTTACACTACTTTCCATTTCTATATATGTTACACTATATATCTATATATGTCACATCTATATATGTTACACTCCTTTCCATTTCTATATACGTTACACTACTTTCCATTTCTATATATACTACACTGCATATCTATATGTTACACTACTTTCCATTTCTATATGTTACACTATATATGTTACATTACTTTACTTTACACTTCACGCTACTTTACAGCCTATGCTCTCGTTCTATTGGTATACATTTCACAACCTCATCGTATCTGTAGAACCAATATCACTAGACAATCAGCATTGGTATTCCACACTGAAACTAACCCCTCTCCACACTAAAACTAACCCCTCATACACCTGAGTCATCCTGCATGACCCACTACTACACGGGGACCACACACACATTACAATATATATATATATATATATATATATATCTGCGGTACTATGGGTACTATTTCAAGAGAGAGCAGAAGTTAATTAGAACATGTTTTTTCCATCGAATTGTTTGTCCTACCTCTATCAACACACATATCCGTATACACGTAACAAGCCGGACAATGTACTTTTGCCATAGATTTGCTTGTACTACCACTAATAAAGGTATGTATTCGCATACATATCATTAAGCCGGACAATGTGATTTTGCCACAGATCGGCTCGTACTACCTACCAGGGTGTTGGAAATCATGGATCATGGCTGCCACTATCGCCGCTAACGCTTCGCGGTCGCCGAAGTATTGGGCCAAGCCAAGAGTGTATAGGAAGTGGTAGACGGTCTATAAATAGAACAGAATAGTAGAGGTCAATGGGGTATTGGACCTAGCCAAGAGTGTATAGGAAGTGGTAGACGGTCTATAAATAGAACAGAAGTGTAGAGGTCAATGGGGTATTGGGCCAAGCCAAGAGTGTATAGGAAGTGGTAGACGGTCTATAAATAGAAAAGGAGAGGAGAGCGAAAGTCAAATTTAGGGTTTTAGAGTTTTAGGTATAAAACAAGATGGGTAGGTAGGGACAACGGGATATTTTAAAAACAGAACAATGGGAGACAAATAGATCTGCTGATATGATAGAGTGGACGTGTACAGAAAGAGGCACTGAATCTATAAATAGACTGGACGAGATGAGATGTTGGGATTTTAGGGTTTAGGGTTTTGGACTAGTTAGACAAGCAGCGAATGTCAGACATACAGAGGTGATCGCCTACTGTAGGTGGAAACAATGATGCATTTGAATATAAAATCTATAAATAGATTCCAAAGTCTATAAATAGAAGCATGCGATACAGAAACAACACAAACCGAACGAAAAAAGGTACGCGATGTGAAAGCAGATACGTGGCCCGTGCGTTCGCAAATCTATAAATAGTATAGATATAATAAAAAGAGTACAGAACGTACTGTAATTGATAGAACAGCATGGTACTAAACAACCGTATATATATATACATACATATATATATATAAAGTAAACATAAATATACAAAAAATCATATCCAGTATCTGCGGTAAAGAACAACTCACCTGTGTGACATCCGTAGCATGATATTCGTTGTGGTATGGATTTGATTTGCGGTAACCCTTCCCGATGTATCGCAGGAAGCGATCCAATTTATCCTCAGGTATGCTGAACTGTACTCGAAAGGACAAAATATGCTGAGGTATAATTCATAAAGACAAACTAATATACTAAATATAATACACGCACACACGCACACACACACACATATATATATATATATATATACATATATATAAATACACACACACATATATATATATATATATATATCTAGATACAGATAAGTATATATAAATATAAACATAAATATAGTTATAATTATAAATGTAAAGACCAATAAGGAATATATATATATATATATATATTCCTTATTGGTACTTCGTCGACATTCAGTAGTTTCGTTCCCTATCTATTTATATGCAATCTGTTACGTTTACTCACCGACTTACGAGTATAAGTAGCTACGTTTCCTATTTAATCACCTATATTCTGTCACGTTTACTATACACATAACTATAACCTGCCACACTCACCTTATCCGAGAGTCCCGTATTCTGCAGAATGGCTTTGCCCACAAACTGAAGTGGTCGATCGTTGGTGTGATTTGCAACCTATATGTAATAAGCATAGCATGAGCAAAGACCTACACATTCATGTACAATGGATATAGCAAGACATACACATGCATGTACAATGAATATAACAAGACATACACATGCATGTACAACAAAAAACAAGACGTACAAAGACATATAATGAGAAAATCCATGTACATTCATACTCAAAGAATAGGACAGAGACAGTACCTACACAATCATACACAACGGTCATACCGTAAATGAACGCAGACACGTTCATGAACACAGGATATAGTATGAGAACTACCATATACATACATAAGCACAGCTCATGGAACGTTCATGAACACAGGATATAGTATGAGAACTACCATATACATACATAAGCACAGCTCATGGAATGACAACTATACGGATGAGACACCAGATAATTAGAACGGATGTGAGATGGCTTTACTATGTATACATATTTGTATTTGTATATGTATATGTATACAATATGTATACGTGTATGTACTATCTATATGCCTGTTTTAGTCTGATGCAGTTATCGTACAAAAAAACAGCAGTGGTTTACGACAAAGATACTCCTGCCAAGCAGTAAACACAACAAAGCCAACAATTCTACAAATTCAACAAATTCATATATATATATATTATACATATGTATGTATACTTACCTCACATATGTATGTATACTTACCTCACATATGTATGTATACTTACCTCACATATGTATGTATACTTACCTCAAACACATCGAAGTTGAGATCACCGAGATGCCTTAGCCAACCAAACTGAGGTTGACTCAGACGTCGTGGGATGTCAATTCGAATATCTTCCGTCACCACAATGCTTCGACTCCGGTCCGGTTTGTACTGTGGACAACATGTAAAAATAAGTGAGAAATAATAAAATTTCAAAATATAAATACATGCTTTTGAGTATAAACGTAGATACGATTATTTATATATATATACATATTTATATATATATATACTCG